GATAACGCGACACATGGGCGATCTGTCCAGGGAGAATGCGTTCCGGAAGGCGCCGAAACTGGCCCGTATTTAGGTGCTACTAACATGAAGGAAACCAGGAGAGCTCCACATGGCCAAACTTTTGGCCAGGCGCAAACCTACGACTAACTACCAGTGTTCAGCGTTTTCATCTACTCGGCCACTGTTGGCTTTTTTGCTAAAACCAGAGTCAGAGTATTCATTTTTTGCTGGAACAGGAGCAGTTGAAGCTTTCATTTTTTCGCTGGCGTCGGGGCTCGAAGCCGTATATTATTTTAAATATACTTGGTTGCAGTCCAGAACTCGAGACTAAGTTTTTTCTTCTTTGTTTCTTAGGCATCGGTATTAATTTTTTAAACTATTCACTAGAAAATTTTGAGCTGTTCACTTTGCAAATATTTAAAACACTCTAAATCTAACTAAACATTTTCAAACAACTTACATTTCCAACATGGTTCCCTCCTATCGGACATTCGGAGATCTATTGTACCGGATGAGACAACTTAAATAGGGATCTAGAACATAAATTAGTAGTACGTTTTATATGTGCTAATATTTTTGTATAATAAAATACTAATTTCAATTAACAATTAATTGCTCTTTAAGTTAATAAAATCTCATAACAGATGCTCCACACACTTTTTAAATAAATGCATACAGTCGTATGGACCAGTTTCTAAACACTGAGTTCGGTCGTGGATTCGCGCCTCGCTCGGACGGGCTGGCCACGTGGAATTTTCGGGTTTTCTCCACGTCTGTAACGCCTAAATAGGGGCCAATTTCCCTTAGAAGTCTTCCCAGAAGGCATTATTCCCGCGAGTATTATCCAATTACTAATACTTTCCATTGAATTTTCACTTTCCACGGTGCTATATAGCCGCTGTAGCTGATGCCCAACTTGTTATAACCAATAACAATAATGCATACCGTATTTTAAACAGAGAAATTACCCATTATTGTATTAAACTTTTATTATCATTATTTAAATTTTGGATTATGTGCCGTTATTTTGTGTCGTGTGGTTTTTCAATCGGTATTGATTCTGAAATTTTGAATATAAATGTCTCGCATATTATAAAGTTATAACACAAAATTTATATCTGTTGCACAGAGAATACAGAAATTATTTAATTTATATATATTTGGTTTCTTGAATTAAAACATAGACGATATTTAGGGAGATTAGGGCGCCACTGTACGAGTGTACGTGACGTACAGTACTAAACTTGAAGTTCGTAAACTCTTAAAGTTTGCAAACTCCAAGATTTATTTACGTTAATGCCTTATGCAGGGCCGGCACTACCATTTAGGCAAACTAGGCAATCGCCTAGGGCGCTAGCCATAAAAGGGCGCAAAATTTCAAGCCATGCTTTACAGTCCGTTTCAAAATTATAAACACACCCGACTTTTTTTCAATAACAAAAACGTGCACAAAAAAATGATTTTCAATATTTTGTAGGTACACCATTTGATTTAATTAGTTCAAATAGTCTATCAGGCATACATTTTACTAGTTTTTGAAGTTGTTCTTTAATATTTTCCCAACAATCCATGATAGCTAATTTCAGTTCATTTACAGTATTGTATTGTTTGTTTTGGCCATAAACTAGACGACTCATAATGCCCCAAACATTCTCTATCGGATTCATATCAGGGCTCCGTGATGGCCAATCAATTACATTATAATTTTTTTTTTTCAGCAAACCAATTTTTAGTTGACTTTGATGTACGAATGGCAGCATTATCCTGTTGGAAATGCCAGTTTTCTCCTTCAATAAGTGATTCAAAAGTTATTAAATTTTGATGCAACAATTCTTGATACTTTTCTGAATTCATTCTATCTTCTATAAATACAATATCTATTTTACCTCCCCATTCAAATCCTGCCCACACCATCACAGATCCTCCACCTTGCTGCCTGCTCATTCTGACTTCTTCGTTCTTCCTCAAATCATGCCAGTAGTGACTATAACCGTCAGATCCATCCAAATTCCACTATTTTTCATCTGAAAAGACTATTTGTTTTCACTCCTCTTTCCATGTCATCTTGTCTTTGGCCCACTTTAATCTAGCTGATTTGTACAATTGTGTTTATTTGGATTTGGCAGCTATTTTTGTAAATTTGGCATTTTTGTGATTATGCATACATCTCTATACAGTTGCTGGTGAAACTGCAATTGGCAATGTTGATGCTACATCTCTAACAGACAACTTGTTGATGGTCAGTAGCTAAAAGACTTTTCTTTCGTTTCTAGGTCTAAGGAGTTTAGGCCTTCCACAGCGTTTATTTCTGCCATAATTTTTACCCTGAGTTCAGACATTTCTTACAGCACGTGTAGATCGATTTATAGCTGCCGAAATTTGTCTTAGAGATTGCCCTGATTCTTTCAGTTAGTAAATTTCACGTATTTCCAACTCTGTTAGTGTTTTTCCACGAGGCATTGTTTTAAATCCGTTTAATTAAAATTGGCGCCACGTTTTTAATAATGAGTGATATACTCACCTCTGGTGATAAGTAAATAAATTAATAATTAATAAAAAAAATTAAAGGCTGCAAAGGAACGGGGTGTGATACGATTTAATTGTCGCATTCCCGGACCAAATTGACACGTCTTCGGACGTAGATCGCGGAAGTGAGATCCACCGCAGGGAAGAGTTCGACGGTCATCTTACACAGAGTTCAAAGCGAGATTTTGAGGACGCCCTTTCAGAAGGGACGGCGGCTGGGACCGTTTGGACCCAGAATTTACGGGACCAAACGGGGAAGGGCATGACCCGACTTTGGAGGGAATCGGCCCGGATGGGGGTTCGTTTTCTTACATATATTATTAATAAAACATGAAAAAATAATTTTTACTTTTAAAAAAGTATCCAACTAATGAAATAATGGCGCACTTGTAAACTTTGCCTAAGGACCAAAATAACTTAGCACCGGCACCGGACTTATGATTAAGTTTGAGATTTCCCATACGAACTTCATAATGAATGGGCCTTTATTCCCGTACCGTTAATCTTAAACCGTTATTTACACCATTGTTTTAATTGTTGACGGAACCAAAGAAAAATAAAGAGATACCCTGGTCAAGTGTACTGTGTTTATAAATTCTTACAGGTATAGTACAATAAATCACATATTTCCATTGGACGTCTGAGTCTTGTTTCATTTAAAGCAGGAGTGTCCAACCTTTTTGTTTCATTGGGCCGCATTGGAAAAAGTCAAAGAGTTTTGGGCCAGAAGTACATATAATATATACTTGTGGCCCAATATACAAGTATATTCAAGGATTAACATGTCTAGATTATAATAATAAGTATTAAATCTTTATTGCAAAAAAGGATATTTTAAAAAATTACTTCTACAGACACTTTCAATTTTTACTTAGAAATATATAAATTTTTTTATTATAAAGGAGACAAACGGAAATTTATTTGAAAAAAACAAACAAATATTTGTTTTTTTGGATCTCTAATTAATAAAAAGCGACGAGACACCATTTTAAAGTGCATTTTCATTCAACTAATACAGTATATTTATAAATAAAATGTAACCCAAGAAGTAGCCAATGCACCAAATGTTAATTTCTACGTCAAACAAAAAAAAGTAGCCACATTTGGCGCAATGTAGCCAAATCTTGCAACGTTGGAAGAAATACTATTACTAAATAAAGCTGGAGTTGTGACTCAAAGGATTATAGACCCAAATGCGGGGAAAAGAGAGAAAGGAGAAAAGATAAAGTGGAAAATTAAGGGTCAATATTTGCATATCAAAAAATCTATTTAATTTTTCTCACTACTTTTTATATTTTGTCTTTTCTCGCCTTTCTGTCCTTTTCCCAAATTTGGGTCTATAATTCTTTGAGTCACAAATATAGCTTTATTTAGTAATCCTTCCTCATTCACACATTTCCAAGTATTTGAAAATATTTCTTTTCCACTCAAAAATAAAATATGAATAAAGGTTTACGACTTTGTGAAACTTCTTTTTTGAGTTTATGCCGTTGAAATAAATAAATAATAAAAAAATTAAAACATTTGTCGGTTTTGTTTACACGTTTATTGGGCCGCATTGAAACTTGCCTTGGGCCGCGGGTTGGACACCCCTGATTTAAAGGAACCAAATAATTATATTAATTATGATTTGATATACATTAAAATATTGTCATGTGACTAAAGGATTTATTTCTCTTGTTTATATAAAATGTATATAAAAACATATTATAAATAAATTAAAAATGCTTTGAATAATTTACTCCTATCTCGAACAATTGCACTTAAAAGTTATTAATAAATATTTGGCTGGAGCAGGAGACAAATCTTTGGAGCAACACCCTGCAAATCCCTGCTAAAATTACAAAAAAGTAACCAAACGTTGTAAATATTGTATAGTTACTATAGAAAAATAATTAGTAAACTTTTACGTATTAAATAAACATTACTTTTAAATAAATAATTTGCTAATCAGAAAATGATCTTGCTTATTTATAACACTTATTTAAAAACTGCAAAACTGTCATTACCGAACAAAGTCTTTGATTACTCATCTCATTCGTGTCCAGAAGTTTATCATAATACTGTTTTTCTGAAGCAGAATAATATTAACAGCTAAATAATTTAACAACACTTCTATTGATTCACAATTCTGCTAATTCTTGTATGAAGATTGTTAAGGCTGATTGTAATCTCTTCGGTTATGCAGGCGATCTCCAGTACATGGCGTTAACAATTTAATGCATTTTCTATGGGGAAACATATTTCAGAAATTCTCGAAAATGGAAACAGATAGAGCGAAACAGTTTTCTGCATTAGAATTCTATTTAATTCTTCTGCTAACATGCTGTTCAGAATTTTAAAAATCGTATAAAATTAACAAATTCCAATTTCAAAATTCTGAACCGTACATTAATAGAAGAATTAAATAAAATTCTGTAGCAAAAAACTGTTTCGCTCTATCTGTTTCCATTTTCGAGAATTTTTGGAAAATGTTTCCCCATAGAAAATGCATTAAATTGTTAACGCCATGTACTGAAGGTAGCCTGTATAACCGAAGAGATTGCAATCAAGAGATTGCAATCCTTAAATTATTTTCCTTTTTTTTTAATTTTTCATATATAAAGGGACAATTTTCTTTCATAGCGATTTCATAAATGCTTCCAGAGCCAATCTGTATGGTTTCATTCTTACTTAAATTATTCCACACATGAATCGCGAAACTTTCTTTTAAAATGTTCATGAGACTAGAAGTAGGTGGACGAAAATAATCCTGCCACTTAGAATAATGAATAGGGAAGGCAGTATCTTCGGGTAGGACGTCCATATCACAATTCTTAGCTGATAATCTTTTAAATGAATCTATTTTACAGTAGTCCTTTACAGTTTTGGTGAAGAGATTAGGCCCTGTAGAACCCCAAACAGTTTCGTTGTAATTTTTGTGGAAATTCAGTAGGCATCTGTAGAGGAAGTTGTGCCATTGATCGAATCGAAAGATCGCATTGTTTACGTAGGCATTATCTTGCATTATAATGAAATTATTTATGTCGTAGACAGGTTTTAAGATCACTACATCCAAATCTAAATACATTCCTCCGAATTTCCAAATTAAGAGCATTCGTAAAGCATCGCTGAGTTCGGTTACGCTGTATTTACTCTTAGACCATTTCTTGCTCCTAAACCACTCTTCTAATGGAGTACCCTCGAATGTATCATTTAAATCGATTCGATTTAATTTAATATTCGAGTATCTTTTCTTTAGACCGTAAGCATAATCGAACTCCTTTAAAATCATCACATTAATTTCAAATCTTCTGTAATGAACGGCGGCTGATTCGATGGCACACGCTTGACGAAGATTTAAAGAATTCCCCGAAGTTTCCAAAAATATGACGTCGGTGGTTGCTTCTAATGACGTAAACCTCTTCCACCCTATAAAAACTGAAACAGTATTGTGAAAAATCCCTGTTAATTAAACTTATTTTCTATAATATAAAGTAAAATTTAACTTACTCGATAGCCTCCAATAGATGAAAACGGCGATACCAATTAATACGAAGAAACGTAGAAAAGTAATTAATGTCTTCATACTGACGTTGGAAACTGTTAAAATATTTTAAAAAATGCATTAAAATTATTATATAACGTGAAAATATACTAATTAATTCATTAAATTCTCGGTATCAAAGCATAAATTGTAAAGCTAACGACCTCTATAAACTGCTGAATCTGTCGATAGGGCGTGGATGTCGCTGTTGTTTATTACATGTACAGTACAGTGCAGTACGTAGTGTGATAACACTTGAATACTTCATTTGCATATTCAGCTAAATTCTATTTAATTTTGTTATCTGTTTAAACGAGTAAATCGCTTTTAAAATTTTAAATAAGTAATTTATAAGTGAATAATAAATCTTTCACCTGTACTTTATTTTTTTCTAAATTTATTTATTTACAAAGGTGCCCGGGGCCCTTGGCTCCCTTGATTAATCCACTATCTCGTGCTCAATTATGTTTGGCACAGGTTCATACTGTTCGTTAATCAATAATATTATAAATCGATCGTCTAAGTCATTTAGTTTTATAACCTGAGTACAAATGTACTAAGTATAGAAAATTATACTTAACCTTTGCTCATTATTCATTTTCTATTCACTTTATTAGGTTAAATATTCAAATATATCGTTAAACGTTTACTAAATGTATTGTTTCTGTAGTTTTGTACAGCATATGTACGCTAATTGAATAAGAATAATACAGTCAAACCTGTAAACAACGGCCACTGACGGAAACGCTCGGAGGTGGCCGTAATTTAGAAGTTATTTTGTAGCCTACGCATTTCAAAAGGAAATGGCCGTTATCGGAGTTTCGACTGTTTGTATAATATAATTTATATTCTTGTATAAAATATAATTTAAGCGGTAAATAGGATTGAATTTAAATTAATTGTGATTCTAAGTTGTAATGTATAACAAACATATTAAATATAAAAGGCCTTAAACTCTAGCCTTATATCGAGAGGCCTTTAGCATCTATATAAATCCGACACATATTAAAAATAACCTTCAATTTCCGTTTTATATTTATATAATATCCGAAAAAGATATATTTAAATACGTTGTTTATTGGGTGATGATGATAAAAGAACTCTTCCTATTGGATAATGCTTCCAATGATGATTACTTGAACTATGCACTCTATGTGTTAATAGTACGTCTCAGTTATGCAAGTGACACACCTTTTATCCATACCTATATAACTTATATACATACAAATATACACCTGTACATATACACAAACACAACACCTACACGTAAAGACACACAGACTCACACAACTCACTCAGTGAAGTTTTAAAATAAAAAATAATCGTCTACAAAAGTACCAGTTTTTGTCATCGAGACAAAAGCCAAACAACTTTCAAGGATGTTTACCTGTTAACAAAACATGTCGACATCAATGTCGTTGTTTGTTCGTGTAAAAGTAATATTAACCTTCACCTGTAAATCAATCAAGTAATACTACCGATTGAAGAGTGATAAAGGTCTACAGAAATAGATTTATGACAGGCTTACACTTACCACTTTTTTTTTTGTAGATCAAGCGCGTCAGATGGCTTATCTCACGAACGTAACAACGTAACGTTTGCCATCGTTACCGTATCGGTGGAGGTTCGTCTGATAGTCTGATCACTATCTATAAACCGGGACTTTCCGACGTCACTTCGAACTTTACAAAGTGATGCACTGTCGTTAGATGTCAAACTTCAGGTCGAAGCTATTCAACCGAAGCATCGAAGTCGTATTAAAACATTACTCTGTCCTCCTTGAAGAGGTTACAGCAAACAGGATGAAGTACAAGACTTGACATCATAGTACCATTCTGTAAACTTAACTTTAGGCCTATATATATATGACGTAACGACAAATCAGATACTTTGTTAAACTTCCTGTTTAATAATTTGTAGGCCTTATCAGCAGGATTTTAAATATTAAATGAAATTTAATAAACTTTATGGTTTTATATTACTATACTTTTAGCTAGTTACGTATACGATACTCGTATATTCTATAATTCTAGATACAGGCTCGACGTCCAAATAAAACTTTATAGCAAATTTTTATTAGGTTAATAAACAGAAATGAAGTTAGAGAAGTTTGCTGTCGCACATTTCCTATTCGTAATTAAAATACGCTGTCTAGACAGAAATATAACAAAACAAATCTGGTATTTTAGGACAAAATTAGTGTAAAAACTCACCATTGTGGCACTTTTGGCGCTACAGGCAACAAACATTTTATTTACGCAAGACATCCATGCTATATAGAGAGCGTAGCTATGTAAATACAATTCAATGTTGTCCCCATTATAAAGGGAATGGAGACTGTGTTCGACGACCAGTGTGATATGGACTTTCAAGGCAGCCAGATCTGGTTGCCATATCACGCACGTTTTAAGTGTACTGTCCAAATAGACTGCTTTTTTCACAGCTTGCAGCGCCAAAAGTGCCACAGTGGTAATATTAAAAGATGCGTATGACGGAAGACATAATTCGTTCCGGGCAGACGCTTGTATGTCATGTTTTGTTAAATATTTCATGCACACTAAGTACTTCTTTTTAATACTTTACGCCTAATCAAGAACAATACGTTAACTTGTTCTGTATGAAAATTTTAATCGGATACAGTATATTAAAATTATTAAAATGCTTAACTGTAAAGAAGCAACCGTATATGGTTTATGCGCTTCTGTGTTAATCGTACGAGATTAAGTGCTAAAAAACGAACACAGATGGCAGCACATATTAACTTAATAAGTGCTGCCATCTCTGCTCACGACATTTAATTTTGTCAGCCTTCAACATGAGAGGGCGCTGTTTATAAGAATAAATACAGTACTGTATTTAACAATTCACAAGATACGGACTATGGAAGCAAAGTGGGGGCTTCAGTGCTGGCTTTAAAAATGATAATAAATTTATGTACTGTATTTATTAAATGAGGTATGGACCCCCGCTGTTTAGGTGTTACAATCGTGAAGAAAATGCAGAAAATTCCACGTTGGTGAGGCGCGAAACCTCGATCAACTGGGTGATCATGTTAACTTATGTGTCTCGAATCACATTTAACTCATTTATGAGTTATTAACTTGTTTTTTATTCACATCCGCGATGAATTGCTAACTTACGTGTTCTGTTTAACACGTTATTGCAGGTGTTAAAACAATGGGAAGAAAATTGCCGCGTGAATTTTAATTTATTTCTCGTCTTATAATAACTTTTCTGCATAAATTAAATAATGTGATTTAGACAGTGTCTACTTTTTTATGTAATAAATTACAGTATCTGTGAATGCTTATATGAATTAATTTTCATACGAATGAATCTAGAAACAAAGCTGTTGTATCACTTGTCAAAAGTGATTGGCGTTTCCTGCTCATAAAAAAGCACATATTTACATTCTATGATTCAAAGACAAGAATAACTCCACCCGTTTAAAAAGGCCTTCATTATTTATTTTGTTGTGTACTCCAATAAAATTAATATCTTCATATATAAATAAGATTATAAAAAGATAAAAATCATTTTAAAAAGAAACTAAAAATCAAATATAAATACAGTAAACCCTGTCTAAAACGGAAACCGCAAAAAAATATATATATTCGGTACCGTGCAATTGCGGCTTACACAGGTTTTGAAAAATTGATATAAATTGTCTGTTCTCCTGTTGCTATTTTTGTTTAACAGGTAAATTGACTGAAAGAAAAATTATGTCTTGGGCAATCTTAGACTAATTCAAAGGAAAGTGTGGTTTACCCAGGTTTCCTTTGTATTCGAATACAAAAGAAAGTGACATTTTGTCACAAAACCTGTCCTCTACTTGTAAAGAAAGTGAATTTTTAAAGCTGTGGAATACTAAAGAAATCATTTTTTTGACAATTGCTGCGGGCTATTTCAAAGAAATTTCAGTCACGAATTTTTTTTGCGTAACCAGGAAGGGTGCTTCTACCTTTATAAATAAATAAATGAAGAAAAAAATCAGTTACAAGGTGATAAATCACGTATAATATACACAATATCTAAGAGGTTACTCTTCTTCAAGCAGTGATTACATCCAGGAATGAATGTAGCTTTACACGTTCTAATTTGGACTCCCCCTCCGGTTGAAATTAAAAAAATATTTCAAAATAATTACAATTTTTGGCATCTATTAACATTAGTGACACGAGAATGATCCGTAACATTTTATTGTTACGGATGAATTATAACTGAGTGGCATACAAGGAAATTTAATTTTCCTGTTTCGGGACATCGTATTTTTTTAATGAGGATATAATCAGAAAAATTGCTTTCTTTTTAAAATAGTAATCTCACGTTATGAATCTACTATAGTATTAGTATTTAGCGAATGAGAAGAGCCTATTACATGTTATAGTTTAGGTCTGCAACGTATCTGTCCAGCCCTGGATAGTCATCACTCTGTCCCTGTGAAGGCCTGCCATTGGACTTTTAGAAATTATTATACATTGTATGGATTGTTATCAGTGGTGATATTCGAAATATTTAACAAAGGGTTCGCTAACAGAAATTTTTTTAAACAATTTTTTTTTTCGTTCAAATGGTGCATTAGCAACATTAGCGCAAAAACTGATCTTAAGATACATATATAAATAATAAAGTTGCGTTCGCAAAATTAAGTCAGTTAAAATTTAACATTGTTTATGCCAGAACTATATTTTTTTTTATAAATAATAAAAACGAGTGTTCAAAATGGTTTATTTTGTACATATTTTAATATTTTTCATTCAAAATATTTTATAAACATAAAAATTGGCTTTTTTTTAAATCAGAAAAAGTCATAGGGAAAGCAGTTACACAAGAAAAACTTTTTTAAATCATTTATTTTATCGTTAGGTATTATTATAATAATAGACAGATGTCATCGTCTCTCGAAATACAATATCTTTCTTATTTCGCTGTCGATAGCTCGACACGTGTTCCGCAGCCATCTTGCATTTTCTCGCGCGCGTGGGATTGTGGGATCTCTCTTATGACTGGATCTAGTTTCGAGAACTCTTCGAGTCGATTGCGATTGAACCTCGTTTCAATCTCGACTGAAACGAGGTTCAATCGCATGGTCGATGGAGATTGCACCAGGCAAACATGGTATAAGGCTCTAGTAGTGTTACAGAGTATAATACGTATATTTTAATATATTTTTTAAAAGAAACAAAACCACTGAAAAACGTTACGTGTATTTAACAACGGTTCGGAAAACTTTGAAAATGTTAACAACGGGTTCGGCCGAACCTGTGCAAACCCGCTGAATATCACCACTGATGATAACTGTACAATTTTTGTTTCTTGCGCAAGAATTTCATTTAGATATTGTCACAAATGCATTTTTTTGATGAAATTTCGAGAATATTTTTAGTTATAAATAAACGAATTTGTGCATTCGACATCATGTTGTAAATTGCCGAATTTTTGATGGTTCACCCATTATTTTTTTTGATTGCTTCATCTCATGCATTTAAATTTTAAATCGACCGATTTTAGATTGCTGCGCGTACCCCTGGGGGTACGCGTACCACTAATTGGGAACCATTGCTCTAGATGATAGTATTATAAATTAATCTGTATGTCAATATTTATACTAAGTTAAGTAAATATTACATAATAGGCTAATATTTAATATTTAGCCTATTAAGTATAAAATGAGATTAGTGAGATTTGTACTTTGTACCCATAGCATTCAAATATGTTAAAATTATACACAGAAACTTATAAAGTGATAGAAAGTAGTGAACATATCTTATACAATAAACGATCTTATAATAGTTTTAGAAGTCGCACCGGGAATTTTTCGTTAAATATTTTTAAAGAACATAAAAATTTTTAAATATCGTTTAAATAAACTATTTAGATGAATTCGAAAAAGTGTTATACGAGAGTGTATTATAATTATTGACAAAATACTTTTGAAATTTAATTTCAATCACTCACTATCAGTTTTAGTGGGTATTTGTAATGAAGCATTTTTATCCCTTTAACATAAATAATAATTTATATAAGTGTTAAAATAATATGCACACAGAGCATTATATTTTCATTTTATAAGAGAGTAATACAAACTTACTTACATTTTTAATGTGTGGTTATAGCACATATTGTAGTAGTAGTAAATATCACTTTTCAGTTTGTTAACATAATTAACAATTGTTTTAAAAATGTAAATATTCTGAATTTAATATAAATGGAAATTTAGTGGGTTTCCTGATCAACTTATATGAGCTTTACTGACCAAACTAATGTATTGATAATCTTTTTAGTAGTAAAAGTTTTAAACTTTCGTTTATAAACTTTTTAAAACTAGATATATAGAGCGAAGATTAATTTAAATTTAAAAGAAAAATAAGTTTATTATATAAAACTGAAGTTCAGATATACTGTATATGAGAAAAATAGTGGATCAGTTCTGAAAACAAGTTAATTTAGAATCTCTTTCTGAGCTTAACCTTTTGCAACATTTTATATTTAAAATTAAACAAATAAAATAATATGCATTTATTTTTTCTAAAGTAAAAAGATTTTGTTATAGCTATAAGGCATACAGTGTTATGTAAAACTTTTCAGAATGTAGACTTCTCTATATACTATTCAAAACAATTTAGGCAATATTACAATTCTAATTTTGCAGAGATTTATTTTGTTTTATCTAATACTTCAGGAAGAAAATTATTGAACTTACTATAAACAATTTATTTATAATTTATGATCTTAAAATCATTGTAAATCGTAATTCTAAAACTGCTTACCTGATACAAAAAAAAAAAAAAATTAGAAACTTGTAAAATATTCCAATCAGATTTATTAAAATAATTTTGTTTATAAAATAATCTGATATTTCTTGTATTGAGTAATAATGTTACTATTAGGCTAAATTTTGTTTCAGTTAAACAATTGCTTGTGTAAAAATGAAACTACAAAAATTCTGAATTGAAATGTATTTTATAGATATAAAGGTCATGAACGAGAAGTGTAACGCTTATGAATTTGTGTTAAGGGTGTAGACAAAAACCTTGCGTCAAGCTGTATATTTCGCTACTTGTAAGCTAAATCCAAATGTCGAGAATATAGATAATCAGTAATCGGCTATTCCATGACAAGGTCTCTCGCGCTCAAGGCAGTCAGCTGTGTGAAGGAAGCAGACTGATGACTTAATTTGTTTTAAAACAAGTGTTTTTGTTACCGGCCAAACCCGATTTCGGGCCAAACGGGTTTAGCCCAGGACAATCTAGTTTAGCCTAGGCCGAACTGATTTAGAATTATTATTCAAGTATATTAATGGTTAAAATAAAAGTAAAAGGCAATCAATTAGATGAACAATATTTATTCAAACACACCTGGTCTACTTAATTGTAAAAAAACGGTATTGATTACAAGTGACCCAACACTTGTACAAAACTATAAAATAAAAATAAGCTAATCAGTACTTATCAGTTTGTATATTTTTTAAATTAAGCAATGCACTTTTAAAGGTAATTAACTTTCGAAAGTATTTTCAAAAATTCAACTCAAATAATAAAAATAATTTTTATAGTCAAACTAAAATTAAAAATGAACTTATTTTTTAATCTAACAACTAAAATTAAAAATGAACTTATTTGTGCTTCTTAGTGTAGCATATAAAATATTCAATCTTTTATTTATTTCTGCGATTATTTAATCTTTTATCTCTGCGATGGCATTTCGAATTACACAAAATCATTTTTTTACACTGGCACCTATTTGTAGCACAGTTTTTGGTACAGGTACACCTCACAAAACCTTTCCTGTCCCAACTGAATGTTTTGTAGCTGCAGTCGTTAGTGAGATTTGAACATCTTGATTAATATCACGTTCTTGTAGAAATTTTTGAGTACAAAGGTCGAATTCAGTTCTGTAATAAACAAATATTTTACTTTGACCAAATTATATAACATACTTATGCTTTTTACACCAAACAAAACGGCGTTTAACATTGCGCTTTTTTTCTTCGAAGATCGTTATCAGGCCTTTATTATAAGTAAATATACAAAAACCCTATCTGAAAAATTCATAAAACTGGAAAACCTCTTCCAAATATAAAAACAATAATAATCGAAATCAGTTCAGATTTGACAGTGAAATAGAGTAACATGGTCATTAAAAAAGAATTTCTTTTTTTCAAGTAATTTGAGAAAAAATAAATAATAAAATGCGTAACTAACCCGCAATAGTGTGTCTGCAGTATTCCATGCTTAGTTCCAATTTTGTACAGGCCATCATTGTTTANCACGATGACTTTTAAATGGTTTATAAATAATAAATCTAAATGGTATCTCGCTATATTACTATTGATTCAATAGTGATAACGAAATGATGAGACCACTCGTACACTTGTACACTCCACGTTGATGATCCAACAATCCTTTATAATTGTATTTCTTTCTTGTTAACCTTCTCTACTTCCTTTTCGGTAGAGAAACACGTGTCTTTGGTAGATTTTTGGCATGCGTAATCCCAATGGGGGAAGAGTATCCGTTCTACCTTGCTAAATGGTGCTTCTACTACCACGTAACACGCATAAGCTAAAGCAAAACTAATTAAGAAGTGACTACAGAATTCGTAGAACTGAAATTAAACGTTTTATGTTGTTAATTTTTATGTTTTCACTTGAGTAAATTTACGTTTACGCGTATTGAAAATTACTCACCATGTTGTAGTGACTGAAAATTAATGTCTGCCTAATGGTGCTGTAACGAGTCCTAATGACCACTTCGTGTAGAAGAAAGGCAGTAAAAGAAAGGCGACTTAACGGAATAATTAATTTAAAGGAAAGTGTCTTCTGTATTGGACCTGAAAAATAAACATTTTTTAATTAAAATAGAAATAAAATTTGTGAATTTTCGTGTTTTCTGCGCTCGTTTCGTTGTGTTTTACTTTTATAAATCAATGTGGAGAGATTGTTATACATTCAAATCTCTGTACAATGGAGATTATTTTGTACGTATTTCAAAAATAAACGTTCCTAAAAGTGGACATAATATGGAAGTTGTTTTCTATGTATTTCAACGGGAAATGTTCCTTAAATTAGCCTTCATTTAAAAGTGGTTGTTGTTGGAAGGTGGCCGTTATTAGAGGTTTAACTGTATAGAGAGGTTTCAAGTCGACATCACGAGTGACGTCATGAGCATGCGCAATTGTCCGGCGCCATATTTGTGGTTTGTTTACGTTTTATTTCTGTTTATGCGCGCTTTAGCTGGAGTTCTTGTGTTGTTTATTCGTCGCGAATATCACTATGGTAAATTGTTGTGTAATGCTAGTTTACTCAAAAACAAAGGAACGTTATTTTTTAAAATTCCCGGCATTACTTGTCATCAAGGACCCTAAACAGAGGAGCTTTCAAGACGAAGGTAATTTGCATGACTCTAGAATTAACCAGAATAATTTCAATACGGATAGTGAGTATCAATACAAAACTTTTTCAGAAAGGTTTCATTTCAGGTAAGCAATAACATTTTATTACTAGTTATCAATAAATGATTAGATAAACTTTTGCACGAGTACCATAAAATGTGTACATACCCTTTGTTAATATCTACAAAATAAAGTTAAATAATTTTAACAACCGCAGATTTTATTTTGAATAGATAATGATTGTGTTCTAACTTTATTTTTCACCTTTCAATTTGTTTTCTTAGTCTTTGCTTGTAATAAATATATCGCAGAGTTAATATTAAAGTGTTAAGCAAAGATAATCGCTTAGCAGATGAAGAATTAGAAATGAATTTTGAACCAATTGTCCTTGCAGTCTAATTTACATAAATAAAAGTGTGTGTATTTTTAAAGATATAAACCAATAATTTCCATTATTTACTTACAAATAGGTAAGTTAGGTTATCTTGGTGAGCAACATTAACATTTCTTTAAGATTTTACAGTGATTTTTTTACAGTAGTAACAAATAATCATTACCTAGTAACCTTCAAGTTATTCCTGACAAATTCTTATTTGTTATTTATATATAACATACCATAATGATAAGTTCTTTTTAATAATAATATATTATTGAAAAAGTTTTTTTACCCCAAAGGAAAACATTCCTCATCACCAGACTGGGTGCCAACATTATACATGGGTATGAGTGGCCACAAACCCACCTGCATATCAGGAGCGTTATGAAAGAGCACGTAAGCAGGAGAAATCCAGCCACTTGTAAGATAGTTATGGGACACTAAAGATTTGTAAGCTTCTATTTGTGAAAGAATGTAGTAATTTTTCGTCAAAACCAAATAGTTTATGATGACACTAAATTCTACTTTAGGTCACAACTCTTTATTTACAAGAGTTGTGGCCTAAAGTAGAATTTAGCTGGCTTCGTACGAATCAACACCCTGACATAATGAAACTTTCTCTTCATATAAAGCAGCATTTTGTCCTGTTAGACTGCGAGAATAACCCGCCAGAGAAGCACCTTTTTAATTTTTTCCATGATATAAAAATACTGCAGTTCTATTAATTTATATTGAAAAGCACAAATAACAAACCACGTTAAGCATGCGGAAGCTAGACCACAAACATGGCGAAGGGGCGGAACAAATGTGCGTTTTATCATGTAAAAATACGACTTTAAAACCTCTCTATAAAACTTTTAAGAAATTATATTAATAAAAAGAATTTTGCTGTTACTTTTTCATGAATTTCTTTATCTTTCAACAGAAACTACGCACAGTAAACGCATTATTTTCTATCAAAAATAAAATTCTAAAATTTCCCATAAAATAGAAATTATTTATTTTTTAAACAGCTTTGTAAATTTTATTTCATATTCTGTACTACAGTCAAATTTTGATTTAGTGCCATCGTTTGTTCATTAAGTCGAGTGTAGTGCTAAACTGAAGAACATCAAACAGTAGATGTACAGTACATACAAGCTTGAAAGCCACGTGTTAGGTGATAAGAACGCCATCTTCAATGCATAATAATATTTAATAAATCACAGATACTGAAGGGATGGATGAAATAAGGCAATGCAACTCTTGGGCAATATGCCAAGGGGGCTTTCTATGGGAAACTATATCCTACGTAGGTGTTAAACCCACGACTAATTGGTTTTATCAACTCGACTATGTGACGCCTGGATACCGAAGGGTTCTATATATATTCCATATATATAGAGATCATGAGCTAAAGGAGGGTAATAAGTACTTAGAAGAGCACTATATCCAGATTTGACTGTGTTACAGTTATGCATAACTCCGAAAAAGCACTTAATTGATACTTTCTGTTACATACTTACCCCCATATCCTAAAGCACACATCACAGCTATCCATGCCATAGCTAGTGCCCATGCCGTTTGATGAAATGTCATGTATAGTACAGTGCCAGCTACATTCGGTTCTGGAGTTTTACCCAGATGGTGCGGTAAACATAGCATGGCTAATGAACATCCTATAGTAAAGCACCATCCAAGTACTTGGTACTTCTACAAAATTCAAAGATTTTATATTATAATAAATACCATAAATACGCAAAATTATGTATAAAATTAAAAAATTTTACCAATCGTATGATAACAGATGAATGCTCTGCAATTAAATAACCAGCAAGAAGGCCCACGCTAAAGGCACCATTTAGCGAATGTGGTTTCAAGTAAATTTTGTCGATCATGTTTGCCCAAACGCTGTAAAAATATAGCTCAAATTAGCATGCTATAATGCTTTAAAATATGTTTTAATACAGAAATTCTATAAGCATACTCTCTATCAGGAGACATCAGAGGAGGCTCCACTTTGTAAACCAGTGTCACAATGGCCACCGCTATGGCACGACATATTTCTAGAAAAATCCCGATGAACAGCGCCAATTTCGGGCTCCTGCAAGTATTCAAATAGTTAAATCTATTCTTTTAAAGAATTAAAATGATTTTTATATTTTAAAAATCTTACTTAAAAAATGGGAAAATAATGAGAAGTGAGAGTAAGTGAAGTTGCATGTCTGAAGAGAGAAACCACATGGACATCAGGCACTGTAAAACATACTCTACTTTTTAATTTCATATGCAAAAATTATTAATTAAGCTAAGAAAATTAATTTACCATCTGAGAAAAGGGCCACCAGTTGCTAATAAACAGAATATTGGTCCACCAGTTGGTACGGCATACATCTATGTAATGTCCAACCATTTCTTGCCATACGGGTCCTGAGCTGATTAGTGGTACCATCATCATTAAGCCCAAAATTAATAATATGGTCGGTATCAGCCTGTAAATTTAATTAAATATTATAAAAATGGTACTTAAGAGAACAATATATTCCATAATTAACCATGTTTTACCTGCATAAACGATGGAAGAGGAAGATACGTATACTCAATTGCCTTTCACCCTTTAATGATTTAATTGTGAAGTACATAGTCAGGATGCCACTGTAAATATACATAAAATCTATGTTTAAAATCACTTTTTAACTAATTGTTTTTACAATTTAAGACCAATTACCTGAGAAAGAATAAAGAATTAATGGCAACTTGACCACCAAGAATAATCTGAAACGTTACAGTTCTGGTAGTGTCGTATAAATAACCAATTTTTTCTGTTGGTTAAAAAAATAATTAATATATTACATTATCTACAGGAAGATAATTAAACTTACTTTTATTAAGCTTAATTAAACTACATGGAAGAAAATAAATAGCAAAGTACAATACATAAATCTGTAAACAAAATTTGCAAACTTAACATGAATTTTCTGATCAATTAATATAATTTTAGTGAATTTTCCTAAAGATTAAAGTATAATTTATGTAAAATTATTGTATTTTATATATAAATTTGGAAATTAATTCAATTTTAATTTAAACCCACTAGTGACTCAATGGGTAAAACTATTTTAAACACTGATTGCGGGTTCGAATTTTACTAATGAATTAGCCAAGTGGAATTTTCCGGGATTTCTTTACACGTCTAGCCTCAAAATGAAGGCCATAAAAAGTCCTATTAAAAGTCCTGCAGGGAGGCACCCCGTTGACAGATTGTTTTGTATTGCCTTACTCCATCAACCTTAAATCTAACCAAGTCAATTTTAATTCTAAATAATTTCCAAATTTAATAACATGGAAATTAAACTTCGAGCTATAAAACAAAGAAAACAATCGTGTTTTTAAATTTAAATAAATTCAAAATCATAAAACATTTTGTATATTAAAAAAAAATTGTTTCGCTTCACTCAGCAAGTTGAGTGAAGCGAAACAATGTCCATTGCTCAATATACAATACAAATTCTTATACACAGCATTTAAATTATGTAATTCTTTCCAAGACATGTATATTAATTAACATTTTGTATATTTTTTTTAATAAACTTACGATAAAATATAGGATCAAAGTAGCCATAAGTGGCAGCCATCATGATTCCGGTTACAGTAAGAAACCTGAATCCATGTAACGATGATAACTCTGGGTAAGTGGCATCAGGCTTCAGTAATTTGCTGGTGTTCCTTAAAATGGAGAATGCTAAAAGTATCCTAACGAACTTTCCTGTAAATAAATTTATAATATTTACACAAGAAAGAAGAAAAATTTTATGTATAAGAATGGATCAACAGAGCAAGCATTCACGCTGCTGATCCACTCTTTTGGCTGATTATTTATTAATTCAACCATATGCCAGCTCTAATTCAATGTTATTTTTAATAATCACCATTGTTGTCGTTAATTTTCATGCATATCTGATGGCTCATTTTCATTCTGCAAGCGTATATATCCAATAATGATCCAATGGTAACGAACAAGAATACTATAACGAGAGCGCAACTGTTGGGGAGGGAAAAAATACTTTTAAAAATTATCATAAAAGTAGTAAAATCTATAGAAATTATATGAATTTTTTTATGCGTACGCAATGATTATTTGATCGGAAGTAAATTTTAAACCACGCTTCACTTCACATCTGTGTAAGGACCCGTTGAACTTCATCTCCTGTAGAACTGAAAATGAATAGATTTGAATGGAAATTATTGATAAATTTGCATTTAAACTTATATAAATTACAAGAATATCATAATTAATTTATATAAATAAGAAAGATTTACTGATAAAGAGAACATTTTTATTGATATAAGTTCAGTTTTACCAAATTGATAATTGTCAAGCCTCAAAAAGAAGGCCACTGACGGTACTTTAAAAAATGGCCGTAGTTTGGAGATTATTTTGAACGCATTTTTGTTTAAAAAAAAGCCAAAATATTTTGAAAAAATGGCAGATATTTGATTTTAACCATATTTAATTCCACTGTATAATAATCATTTTTATAAGAATTAGCGGCAGTACACATTATAAATCATTATAAATGTACAGTAAGTTGATAAAGAAGGCAGAATTAAGTAAATAAACTGCTTGTAAACAAACATTCTTCGATCAAAACTAAAAGATTTGATCGAAAATCGGTTGAGAAATCATCTTAAATAATAAAATAATCAAAATCTAAGATATTTACTTCTGTAGCCAATCTTCGTTCAGATAACCATACACGTAATCAACATTTAATAAAATTTTATATCAATTACATCTAAATTATCTCACAGAGTACGATAAATGTATAAAATAATCAATTTTATTGTGTTGTATTTCATTTTTTAAAAATTCATTTATAAAACTCTGAAGAAACAATAATTAGTCAGAAAGTAGAGTATAAAATAATACTCTATATATTACTCTATGGCAAATAATAAGCGTGGAATAGCTATTATAAAAGCGTACTTTGCGTGATTCTCTGTCATGTGCTACGAAGGTATTTGTAGGAAATAAATTTAAAAAATTAAATATAATATTTATTGCATTAGAACAATGCTATTTAGAAAAATAAATAAGTAAATTTTATGTTACTTTTACGTAAAAATAAGTGCTTATCAACATTCACTTTTACCTGCTTTAGCGATGTCTTCAACTTCCTTATAGGAACACGTTGAAGGCACGCAGACGCCATATTGAATTTTTGCAAGGTGAAATAGGAAAGAATAGTTTCGGGCCATGTCGAATAACTGAAAAAGAAACATATATAAATAAATTTTGTTTTTTTTTTTCTTTTCTTAATAGAAAGAACATGAAAAACTTTAGTAGTTTCATAGAATTAGGCATTGGAATTAAGAAAAATGGAGGTTAAGGCGTGTGCCTGACACTCTGAAGAATCCGGGTTCGAGTCCTGATTGGAAACTTATAAAATTTCTCGCCTGCTCCGTGTGAACTCGGCCAAACTTACCACGAATATGGTAAAAGACCCTTTTTTTTTGTGCCCACAGAATGGAAAGTGTAGAAAATTATATAAAATAACTAATATAAAATTTATAATTAGTTAGTTCCTTATAATGTTTAAATATAAATTTTAAGTGTTATATTATATAATTGAGCAGCCACAGGAATATTATTATTATTATTATTATTATTTTATTTTTTGTTACGCTCTGCTTCTATCTATAACAAAACAAAGATCAGGAAGAATTATTGATATATCGTGATCCTATTGTTAAATAATAAATAAATGAAAATTATTGATATATTTACTGTAAAATATTTTTTAAAATCTTATTTATTAACTTTTAAAATTGAAGAAAATAGAAAAATATATGATTTTTTATATGAAATTTAGTAAATTAATGACTCGTTACTTTTAAAATATAAACTTTATAAGTAAATATTATAATGTTTTAATGTATTTTCTTTAATTTTCTACGGGAAAATTTACTTTATTGGTTATTTTCAACTAATTTTTCTGCTTACTAAACTGAAAATCAAGCCCAGTTCGTGTTCAAAAATTCACACAATAAACACGTTAAAGTAGACGTATAGGGGAAAAAAAAGGACACACAGTTATCAGGGTTATAAGGTATACGACCTCTTTCGAAACCGTTTTTTCGTTATATTTGATATAAATTAATAGAATATCGTGTGTGAGACATGCAATGTAAATGAAAGTGTTAGCCTTGTTAAGGATTTCCTTTCCTCTCCCCCTTGCTTACCTTATCCGAAGGTAGTAAGTCCCATTTGATGTTGCTAACGAACTTTCTGATAAATGCTGGTGTAGGTTTTGGAGGTAGAGGTGGCCACATTTCTAGCAGGCAGTATTGACCTCTTATGGGTGTCTTTCTGGGACGTTCTACTTCAATATCCAAGCATTCGTCGTACGATCCTAATGAAGCAACTACACCTTCTAGTAATCCTGCTGTCGGTTTTCCCATTGCGTCTATCACTAAATTACATTAATATACATATATTAATTTATAAAATTACTAAAAATAAATTATAAAAATGACAGAAATTATACGTTTAAAACGCTCTTTATTAGTGCGCATTATACACGGTTATATCGCCTTTTTCACTTGTAAATTAAGCTGTATAATATTATACGCTTAAATTAATTATTATATACACTTAATAACATAAATGTTTTTAAATATTAGCCTTAAAACGACTCTTTGACATTTTATAGATCAACAACCTATTTACTATAACCTGACTATAAACAACTTAAATAGGGTTATGAGAGAATATTGCTCAATTGCTTAATGGCTTATTAAGTGTGTTTTCTTATAAATATGATAATATACAAGCATTAAAAAAACAAGATTATTACGAAATTCTCAGAAAATATTTTACAATAAACCATTTTTAAAAACTGCATCCACTATTGTTTCAAGGAATGAACTCTTGCCTTAACGTTATTCTAGTTACTAAATTTATAAGATTAATGGTTTAAAATTAATTTTTTTATAATTTTCATTAATAATTCTATAGGGAAAACATCGGCCTTATTTTTTGTGCTTCTCAATGTCATTTTTTTAAAATAAATTGCACGAAAAAAATAGGACTTCGGTAAGGTTAATTGTAAAAAAAAATATGTGTCAAAGTAAAAACTACTCATAGGGAATAAACAAACTAAATAGAAAAAAATAAAAATAAAAACAATAAAACTTAAATCAATTTGCAGACGAATATAATATATTATCTCTTTAATTTATAAAATTATATTTATTCTTTGCTTGATTAGTAAATTAGAGTCCTTTAGGCTGTCTGTTCTCTATAAACTTATAAATCCTTTGACCGATTTTAAACACATTTTCTACACTTAATCTGTAGAAAATATAGGCTGTAATATTGTTAACAATTGAGTTAAAAAATTGAAATTATTTTAAATATAAAAATTAAATTGAAAAAGTTTTCATTCTGCAAGACTAGCAAAGAAAATAGTGCATTATTTAAGTATATGTATTCAGCTTTTACAACTCCAATTTATCGTATTATTATTATTATTATTATTATTATTATATAATTTATTATTCCTTAAAATTATATTTTTATAAGAAACAATAAAAAAAAGTTTTATTTTTCTCGTATTTTTCCTTAATTATTGAAATTTTTCTTTACGAAATCTTCAAACAATGATATTTATTGGATGCACCGTACAGTACATTGTATTGATCATCATATGTTAATATTTATTCTAGATTTTCCTTTAAAAATTCATTAAAATTATTTAAATTACATAGTAAGTTTCACGTAGATTTCGTATTTTATAATGTACTGTACATCCTACACTTAATTAATATATTATTAAGGAATAAGACTCAATATTACGAATTTTATCGAGTAATATTTAATATATTAAGACCAAATCATGTAAAAATATTTAAATAATTTATTAAAAAGTATGTTGAATTTTTCTTTCATCGATATCGCAACTCTCTGACCTAAATCCAAGCACCCTAAAGCGATCCTTAAAAAAATATAATTAAGAAAACTCTGTATTCTACAACTTAAAAGTTTATGTTTTCAGTCGAAAAAAAAAATGCATAAATTAATTAATTTAATTATTTTATAATAGAAAATTGCTTACTTTTTACGGCCCATCCCTTAAATTGTCGAAGATCCATGAATAATTTCATTAAACTTCCCATACAATCGGACGATAAAGTGACTTCAGAGTTGATCTTCACTATTAGAGGTAAGGCCTTTTTTGTTACTATATCCATGAATTGCCTTATCAATTTTTCGGCATTGACCCACGTTTCGTAGTCGATATTCTCATTATTTATCTTATCCACGCTTAGGGATCGGTTATTGTTTTCACTCAGGGCTACAATGGCCCTTTGCAGTAACAACAACCAGAGTAACCAAGGAGAATTCATCTCGAGTTCTTCACATCTGCGATACTGTTCGACCTGCAATTAAAAATTTAATGCCTTTTTTTTCTATAATGTGAACAGTTAAAATTTACGCTCCGACTAATTTCCAATCGGTTAGACGTATGATTTGTATATTAAATACGTTGGATAAGTTCCAAAACTTGCAGCAGGGAATCGTCAGCGGTACAAACAATGCATAGAGACAGAGATATATATACGACCTTGCCATCAGAAGAATAAATTAGTTACTACTTTCCTTAATAGTTACAATTGAAATCACTTCTAGCCAAAATTGAAAAGTATTGACTAATGGAACAACAATTTTAAAAAAAATGCTGAAAAAAATTTGGTAATTTGCTTTGGAATTCCACACTTTTTTTAATGATAAACAAGAGATTTTTTTTTTATAAGTTTAGAAGCATTTATTAAAATCTGATAAGCTTTCATTTTAGTTTTCTAAACACTTTCTCATNAGTGCCACAAGGGACCCGACGTATCCGGACAGACCACTCTTAAAAATATCCAGATTGCCTGTTCGGATTCGAACTCCCAATGAACAGAACTTCTTAGCCACTGGTGGTCCACGAGAATTTTCCCAGGATTTCTTCACGTTTTTAACACCTAAATAGGAGAGTAGAAATTCCTCTCGAGAGATACCCCTCGGTAGAACATCCGCAAGTTACATTACCGTACGCGAAGTAAAATACAGTAGTTCCAGGTTCATGACGAAGTACAATATAAATTAGAAAATTCTAATATGTGTTTAAATTGTTATAATCTGTATAAACTGTTCAACATTATTGCAAGAACTCTGAATTTCGAAGTTTTCCGAAGAGTTTGTTTCTTGCTATGGCGGCATAGTGATACATACAGTATTCAAAATTCAGTTCATCGGCTTTATTCTTATTGGGGGAAGATTACAGTTGCCTTTATAAGCAATGCTTGGTGTCATTTATTGCGTATTCTTGTAATCTTTCACGGAACATATGAAAAGCTACGATATGGAATGTAGTATTTAAGAAAATTTTTATAATGAGAAATTTATAATTTTCTCGTATTTAGCTACACAACTGCGATATTACGAAACGAATATAATTAATAACAATTGCTACTTTTGAAATAATACAAATGAAAAATATAAATAAAAATTATGTATTTCTGAAGTAGAATCGATTTCTGTAATGATTTGTTTTTTTCTATTTATTACACTACATTTATTTATTTATGCTTTTATAATGGCACCAAAAAAAAGTCCTATTGTTGTAAATGGAATAAGTGTTTTGTATAGCGAAACTCCTAAATTTATATTATTAAAATGGCTTATTTTAAATTAATATACAACTAAAATAGAGTGTTTATCGTGTTTAAATGCATATAATATAGAAAATAATGTTTTAAACACTACTACTTAAATTAAAAACAATAAATCTAGTTTAATATAAAAGCACGTTCTTTAAATTTAATTTATCAACTGTAAATCATGTATACTTAAAAAAAGCATTAGGTAATTTGTTACTTTCAAGCGTAATTTATTTAAATATACCATTTAATTCATCAGTTTCAAGCACATTTTAAGAAAAAATATATCTATTTATTTATCAATTTCAAGCATACAAATTTAAATTGAGATAATGTATGACTTAATCGATCAATTACAAACGTGTTTCTTTAATCCATCGATTTCAAACACGTGTGTTACACGTGTCTGAAATTGATGGATTAAAACTAAAAGGATCTATTTTAACTTGTGTATTTCATACACGTGAATTATATTTAAATTTATATATTTTTTGAAAGAAATATGTCTCTTAACTTATTCATTTATTTATTTTAAATATAAAAAAAAGTATTAATTAATTAACCAGGTTCGAAACACGTGAATGTAGTTTAAAAATGGCAGATATCCTATCAATTTCAAACAGCTGTATCAAAAAAATGTCTCTTACCTTATCAATTACATGAAAACATGTCTGTTAATTTAATTTATCAGTTTAAAATTTATGAAATTGGCATATAATATCTGAAGTTGAACAATTAAATCATGCTGTGTTTATGTATTTGAAACTGATAAATTAAATGCATTGGGGGAAAAATATGTCTATTAATTAATTTAAATAATTGAAATGTATGCATTTTTCTTAAGAAATGTATTTAATTTGTCAGTTTTAAAACACGAAACGAGGCATGATTTAATTGTTCGATTTCAAACACGTGTCTGAAATCGAACAATTAACATTTCACACGTGTAAGACACGTGTCTGATATTGAACAAATTGACATGTGTTTTACGTGTTAATTTCATGAATTTGAAACTGATAAATTAAATACATTTCTTAAGAAAAATGCGTAAAATTCAAATATTATTTAAATTAATACACGTGTTTTTTCATGTGTTTAATTTATCAGTTTCAAACAGCTTGAATTAAAGCATTTCAGACATGTGTACGTCGATTTCAAGACTCGTGTGTACTTTAATAGAATAATAATCTTCTTAATATTCCTATTGTTATCACTTGTAAATTATTTATAGCCCTTACAATATTCTTCTGTTAACTTTATACAGTGAATAAATGAATTTTTTATAATTAGAAGCAATATTTTTTTTACCTTAAAAACAACAAAAGATTATTCTGTTTTTATTTATAGCTAAAAAATATATTTTTAAAAAGATTTCCAAGTAAATACATAGAACGTTCTTTGTATTGATTCTCTTTGTATTAACATACTAACAAATAAATTATCATCAACTAACTTAGGTTATGTTTGATTCTTTTATGCGGTTTTTCTATGAAGGACATCGAGTAAATTACTTTTGTTACAGGAAAACTATTAAATTTAAACAAATAAATGTTATATAACCGATATTCCTCGTAAAAAAAATGGCGTAAAAAATAATAATCGTTGTAAGAAATTATTTAAATAAGTGTAATAAATTATTATAGAATATTTTACGAGCTTATTTGTTACATACCTCTGCACTTTCGCTCCTTAAATTTCGTTAAAAATACACATTTAAAGCTAATTAATTAATTAAATTTATGTAAAAAAAGCTTGAAATTAGAAAAAAAAATTGAATTTCGAAAGGAAAAAAAAATCATTTTTAGCTCTTACCTATTGAACTGAAACCACTTTCCATTTCAACCCCCTATACTTGAAAAGAAGGAAACTCTATACTTGTGACATTGCTTGCTCTACTGACAAGAAGTTTTTACGCTTTAAAAACTAGTATTACTGGATAAAGATGACCTGTAACTGCTTATATAGGTAGGCCATTGGGGAAGGAGCCTTCGTTGGCATGCATAATTCTAGATATCATCACCCCTTCCAGGTTATTAATATCAACATATGACGTGTTACTGACGTAATTATATGACGATTTTAGACTTTAAACGATATAAAAAATGTCGAATTTTACAATACACATTCTTTTTTTATTTTAATTCCTTCCTAAATTCTTAATGGGATAATTAAAAACATATTAAATGGGTCAAAAGCCTTGGTCTGACGTAGAATTCAAGGACTGATATTGATTAACTAAATTCTATATATTAAAATATATTAAATTCTTTTATTTTAATGATTACTCAATAGCTTAATTGATCATTAACATTGCTAATATCGTAAAATGTAGGAACCATCAGAACAATTTTAAGAATAGGCTTGCAAATCTGTTATATGTTTGGCATAATAACATAATTTTTTTTAAATATCTATTGAACTATATTATGCTAAAGCTCAAAAGTAACATTTCAATTTTAATTTTAAATAATAATTAAGTCCTTGTTACAGAAACAAAGCCTAGATTTGGGGCCATACTTGCACGTATATTAAACAAGGTGCAGCTTTGGACTTCGCGTAATGAGTTTATGGATTTAGACCTCGCATCATTATGTAGTAAGGTGTTATATATTATAAATTAGACCCAAGACAAGTCTAAATCCAGTCCCGTTTAGACCTGTTGTTAAAGTTTAAGCTATGACTTTTGACGGGAACGATGCTTAACAATTGATAATTGCTTGCCCAAAAAGCAAACATTAGGAGAAATATTGCTTGAGCAAAAAGCAGGATTAGGAAGCATATTGTTTACCCAAAAAAGCAAAGATTAAGAGATCCATTGTTTACCCAAAAAAGCAAAGATTTGGAGGCCCACTACTTGCCCAAAAAGCAAAGATTAGGAGGTCCATTGTTTACCCAAAAAAGCAAAGATTTGGAGGCCCACTACTTGCCCAAAAAACAAACATTAAGAGGTCAATGATTAGGATAAAAGCTGTGGTTTATACTAGACCTCATCTCTGTAATGGGACGTAATAATGTAAGCATACAACTATATGAATTAAGTCAAATTAACTTTACTACAAAGCAAACCAAATAAACTAATCTTAATTTAAACAAAAAACAAATTTACCTCAGTAATTTGCCTGTAAACTTGAAGAATTGATCTTACTCGGTGACAATTACGGTATCAAGTGGCAAGCTTGTTAACAATTTCTCACAGGACAGGTCGTAATTGTTGTATCAGTTTCCTCTGAATGAAAATGAAATTATAAAGTTTCAACCTTTATCTTACGAAGTGGTGTTGTTGTAATAAATTTCACGAGTTAGAATAATAGATAGATGACCTTTCCTGTACTTTTATGTAGAAAAAAAAATCCGTAAGGCTGAACATCAAGGAAATCGATATCAAATCGCGTTTAGTAGATTCTAAGGCTGAACATCAAGGAAATACTTAGATTTTAGAACAGTCTTTGAACTCGTGTTTATGAAAGAGAAAGTTATTGAGTCACACCAAACCAAGGATGTGTCGATGTACTACAACAACCTCCTGACCTTAACCGAGTTTAACAAGGGAAACGACGACATTTTCTTTTCCGTAAAGCTAAATTATGATTTTTAAACTAATTTTAATCATTGAAAAAATTACGTGAAATCTTACTTCTTAGAAAAATTAAATTTTGAATAGACAAAGCGCGTGTTGACCTCAACACACTTTAATGATTTGTAGATATACTCCATTAAAGTGCACGCTTGTGTTTGTACGTTTAATTAGACATACAAATAAAGGATAAATCTAAGATTCTTCACTACAAATCATCAAATTCCTTAACAATTAATTAAATTTTATTGGTGTAATAAAATTATTTTTATGGCATTCGTTTCAAAATGAA